CCACATAGTGAATCAAAAAGAGGAAGATACTACCTGTTTTGGCAGTGATGAGTTGCAAGACCAATGGTCGTCTTGTTACAATTCCAGAACCTCGTGGTAGAAAATCCCTAGAAACAATAAAGAAAAATAATCATTATCCAGAAAGCACTGTCCAGTTACATAAGATATTAGACTAATTTGAAACTTTATCTATACTTTCAGCTGCAATGAAAATGGAAATTTGGTGGGGACTGATTTACATCAAACACTAGTATCAAGTAAGGCTGTTAATTCTAGTTTGAGATAGCAGCAGATTATTAGACAAAGAAATATTAAAACTAACTTACTCTCTCTCTCGGCATTACCAATTCTCTTTCTCCATTACCATCACACATAGCATCTCAAAGTTCACCTTGCATAATAAGAGTACCTGAAGCCATGCCTGCACTTATCAGGCTCTCTAAATAAATATGTCCACTCCCTATACTTGAATTGAAGAGGATATGGGCATATGAATATGCACTCTCTCACACAACCCAGTAAAGCTCTGGCCAAACCAAACTGCCAGCACTCTGCACCTATTCTTTCACGCATTTCAATTCGGCCAGTTCAAATATCCAAATCCCCAAACTTTCCCAGCAACACACCCAGCCAGAAGTCTTTGAATAAAAGCTGAAGCATAGAAGTAATCTGGGACAGAATAATAGTTTCCTTGGAACAGAAAGCAAGCAATGAAGTATAGACAGCAACTCTGTCATATCGTTATGAAACCCCATGATTCTTTCCATGCCTCCAAAGACAGGGAGGCTCCCTATGCAACAGAAACCCTAGAAAAACTTTGAACCAATTGTTAGTTGAAAAACCAATTATAAGCAACCCAAAGCAAAATAAGAGAATTATTTTCCCAGAATTTTCTTCAGTCACAATGCCTATAAAATTCTTAAAACAAAGACCTTTTTTTTTTTCCCCCAGGGTCTTCCCCAGTTGCCATACCTATTAAACTCTTACAAACATTGAGGTGAGATTCATTAAGGGGCTTTGAAGAGTGCTTCCTTCAAATAAGCATCTTCAGAAGAATAAAATTCAAAGGTGAACAGTTTCACAATCCATTTAAAGTAATCTAAATCCCCTCCATTTTTCCTACCTTAGCAGCATTGCTAAATCATCTCTCTGTCTCAGGTGAAAAGCAATGCAGCAAGTGGTTAGGGCATGAATTTTCAGTCAAATCACAGAGCTGATCTGGCTTATCATGTGGTCACTAGGAAGAGTGAGACAGGAATGTGTAGTGTGTTTGGGAAGGGCCAGGAGAAGGACAAAAGAGTAAAAGGAAGAAAGATACAGCCCTGTCAGCTGTTCAGAACTGCCTAGAAAGGTCTGTTCAAGCCACTGGAGAAACCACATCTTAACTATAATCATCATATAACTTTATAATGACCTTGTGCTACTTAATGGGTGCCTGATTTTAGCAGTTGCACAAAAACCTATGAGGTTTAAAACAAGCCTACAGGAACATCTATGAAAAATAAAACACTGAAATATTTAGTCAAACTTCAGGGCATTATTTGTGCAAACCAGAGGATACTACATCTGAGGAGTTCCAGGTCCAGACAGGCTCAGGAGTGCAACAACAGTGAATGTCTTTACACGAGCACCAACAAGGTAACAAACCTTTAGAAGTCTACAGAGAGAAATATGGCAACTCTGCCCATGATGCAAGATTCCTTCTCAACCTAATATCTAGACACAAAAATAACAAATCAGGTAAACAAGCAGTTCTAAGGTTCTAAGAAACAAGACTGCCAGCTTTGCCTGTCCCACACCACTTTAGAAGTCCCCAGCATTTTGAATGAAACAATGTTAATTTCTAGATAAAATAAAATCTCACTTGCTCAGTACCTGTTAATGTGTGTTTACAGTGTGATTACTCTGCAAACTAAGTTAAAGCCCACCATAAAAGGAGAGGCTGTTCAACCACAAGCTTGCTCATTAATGTCTATATTCAAACACAGATCTGCAGTTCAATCAGTAGTAATTCACATAACCTCTAAAACTAAGATAACCAAAACCATCATACATAGCAATTTATATCTGCTATGATGTTTAGCAAGGCTTGAGACAGCAAAAGGATACAAGAACTAGCTTAGAGATGCTAAAGACCTGTCGCTAATTCTATACACAACAATGGAGAAAAACCTGCATCTCACTAAAGTGCCATCTACTTATATTTTCTCAGGCAGAAGAGGAAAAAAATTTTAATAGAAACATACTTATTCCTCTGTAAGCATTGAAATGACAGTAGCCCAGGATGTAGAAAAAACCTATTGAGATGGCAGTTTTGTATTTTGATTTAAAAAGTAAATAAATAGATAAAATAAAAATTGAAAAAATCATTTGCCCATCAAGAAATTAAAAGAAACTACCATTCACAACAAACTGATCACACAAAACAAACCAGGGTCCTCTACAGCACCACATGAGGCAGAAAAATCCTTCTTCAGGGAGTAAAAGGATGAAAAGACTTCTTGATTTTCTCCTTCACACTAAGCACATTCAGAGATAAAGAACGCTGAACTAATGCAACTCCTAGTTATACAACACTGACATTTCCTCAACAGCAAAATTACAAAGAAATGTCAGACAACAATTTTTCGTTCAGAACACTCTCTTAATGTGTCCAAAGTAGATGGCACTTGATAGCCCTCTCTAGTAAGTAGAGCTATTATCAAAAAGCCCATCCTCTGTTCAAGCAGGCATCAGCAGAGAGAGGATCCTGCTTGGCGAGAGGGTAAGCTGATCATCAGGTACCCAAATAAAGAGCACACATTAGAAGAATATAAGGTTTCTGCTTCAGACACACAGTTTGAAAAGGAAAAAACTACAAAGAACGCAGATAAGGAGGAGTTTATGGGGAGGGTTCAGGAGAAAACTCCCCTACCCCATCAACTGCTGAATGTGTATTTTACCTCTATGAAGGAAACATCGACCTCAACTGATAAACCTGCCCTCACGAGGACAAATAATTGTTTTTAAAAATATTTGAAATTTCAGCTTCAGCCACAAGGCAACTGTGCACTTTCTCTGCACAGACCAAGTTAGATGTTAGAAATAAATATATAAATTCTACTTGTAAAAAAAGGCAGTTCTTTAAACACATACGGAAATGTAAGTTAGATCTGAGACATAACTCATACTTTTTTTAGGAAAAGCAACATAGCATCACATTAGAATTTTAGCAGCAAGGCAATCAGATTTAATACTGTACGACTGCCCCTGCAGAAATGCCTACTTTGACATCCACAAGACAGAATGCAGGTCTTCTCCCCCTCCCCTTGGCAGGGGAAAGCATTCTACACAGGGCTTGTTAGTGGTGAAAAAAAAAAAAAAAAAAAAAAAAAAAAAAACAAAAAAAAAAAACCCCAAACAAAAAAAAAAAACCCCCCACACACACAAAAAAACCCACCACAAAAAAAAAACCACCAGTGTATTAGGAACAGCCCTATACCCTCATTTTTCCCTAAAACATCTGCTCAAATAAAATATTTATTGAAGAAGAAAATAGCTTCAGCAGCAAGAAATATAATCGGACTGAACACAGCCAGGTCAGAGAGGTTCCTTCTGATTGAAAGGATGATGCCACTCAATGACCTGGAGGCACACTTGACATTCTTCTAAGGACAAGTTTGAGACAGCTGCTTTTTCACACCTTTTGGTCAGTGTGTACAAATAAGTTTAGTGAGTGTTGGGAGGAAAAAATCACATCAGAGTTGAAGCAGTTGTGAAGAAATCTGCCTAGAAGAAAAGGATGTCTGAAAATTCATGCACAAAGACACCAATAAGGGAGAGAAGGCTGTCTTCTGTGGTGGGGAAAGTGATCCTGCAAGTACCTGTGCACTCATCTCTAAGACCACTTAACAACAGAAAGGTGCAGGAAGCAAGAATAAAACACGCTGTGCAAGAATAAAACTGGATATTAAAGATATGCCCCTTTAAAAGACATGCATCCTACCTTAAAAATCAAACTACTTTTACATCTTCATTCTCAGAGGATTTTTATCAAAAGGTACTGTGCTGAAAACAGCTATGCCAGCTCAGCAGCAGTGCTGCTGTGACATGGCAGTTTGGAGACCAGCAGCAAAGCATGCCCAGTATTGCTAGCCACTACTGAATGTATGAAGTGCAAATACGATGCAAGCAGCCAGGTCTTCCAGAACATGACTTCAGTAGCTCTTCAATCTTAGAATGCACTCATCTGTTAAAACACCATTACATATTTTCAAGAGCATAATATTTTCAGGGCCTATTTTTTTTTCCCCTAAAAGCTATAAAATTACTCATATCTTACTGTACAACATAACCTGTACTGTCTCCATTCTCTAATACTGTGCATATCCAGTATCAGAGATCTCCCAAAATGTTTGCTTGGTGTATAAAGGTAACAGATATTAGTTTGAATTCGACTTGCTAAAACCCAGGTCTTAAAAACTCATGTCACAGCATGGTGAATTGAAGTTATTAACAGCCATACCAACATCTTAGCAGTTTATTATAAAAAGACAGCTATATACTGTAAGAAAAAAAAAGTTCATGCCTCTGAGGTTGCCTTTCCTTTATCATACCACCCACTTTGACCGATGCTCAGAAAGTAAATATGCTGAAAAAATTAGACAATTCATTAACATAAGGAGTCCCATAGAAGAGATGGAAGCATCCTTACAAATTGCAGGAAGGGCAGAAACTATAGTGAAATGCTGAAAACCAAATTAGACAGGGGCTCTTTCAGTGAGTTTCTCTCATTATCATGGAGGACTATACAAAGGAAAGAACACATATCAAACAAACAAAAAATAAACAAGGGGATTTCCAGGTAGGGGAATAGTTTTCATTTAGGAGCTAGCTCTCTAGCACACCAGCAGTATTTATTGTGAAAAAAAAACCAAACACAAAACCAACAACAATAAAAAAACAAAACACACAAAAAACCACACACAAAACAAAAACAAACACAAAAGAATCCCCAGTTTGTATGAAGAGTGATGAGGCATCAGAAGTTACTACTTAATCAGGTTTCAAGGAAGTAACTTAAATCTGCTTTACTTTGCTAGTACTGAGTAATATTCTCCACTTTGATCA